AGAGTCTGAAGGGTCTGAGGAGGGTCCAAGGGGTCTGAGGAGAGTCTTAAGGGTCTGAGGAGAGTCCGAGGGGTCTGAGGTGGGTCCAAAGGGTCTGAGGAGAGTCTGAGGAAGGTTGGAGGGGGTTCTAGGAAAGTCTGAGAGGTCTGAGGTGGTCACCAAATAATGTGTAAGAGTACAGTTTTATAATCTGTGCACATGAAAATAATCTGATGTTCATGAACTGAACTCGACGAATCTCTGGTTCTTGTCCTCCCGACAGTCCAGTACCATGTTTGGACTCTGAGCAGGACGGGTCCATCGCTCCATCAGGAGAACCATCGGTCAGTTAACAGGTGATCTTCTTAATTAACAGTTTGTCTCCACGTAAATAAACTTTCTTATTAAACAGTTTCAGGACAGCAGATGTTTTATAAAAACAAATTATCCGGACAGACAAAGAGCATAAATCCATAAAAAAATAAACATGTAGATTTAATTTAAACCTTAATCTGCAGTTTTTAGACGTCAAACAGGAAAGAATGTCCAATCAGATCATTTACATTCAAGTCTGAGTTTATTTCTTAATAAATTCAGCTTTTTTTTTTTTTTTTTTTCAGATTCAGGAGGTTTTATCAGCTGAATCTCTTGAAAAAAGAGCCGAAGGTTTAAGAGCCGTCTGTTCCCTTCAGGATCAGATCTCAAGAACGAAAACCTGCACTTCCTGTTTGTCTCGGAGGGACCAGAACGAGCAGCTTCATAAACTGTTCAGATCTACGAGCAGAACCTTTACTGTGCACCGGGTCAGGCCTAACCTCGTTGGTACACAAAGGTCTTCATGATCCAGAACCGTCATCAGAACTGAGGTGGGCCCGGCCTCAAAATCAATAAGTAAACAGGATTTAACAGGAATAAACAGCTGAGCATGCATCACATTTAGGCTGCAGTTATAAACCATGAAGATGCTTTATCATTTATTTTATGAGGAGAATATTAAATGTCTTTAAAATGCAGCCTGCAGGGCCTGGATCAGAACCGAACCGGGCCTCATCCTGTTGAGTTTCACTGTTAAAACGGGATTAAACTGAAATTAAAGATTTTGTTTTTTAATGAAGGATGTTTCTGTCGCAGGGCTCAGACATGACGTCAGCCTCACACACCCCAACGGGCACGAGGGCGCGTGCACGACAGCGAGGCAGACTGTGCGTGGGAGCGCGCTATTTTTTAACTATTAACGTAAAAATAATCACGCCCTGTTTGACTTTGAGTAAAAAAAAAAAATTCAGTAATTTTCTTCTGGACCGTTCATCTGGTTTAATTCAACAAAATGAGCAGAAAAATGTTTTAAATTATAAAATACGTCCGAATTAAATCAAAAGTCCGAGGTTCTGGTCCGGATGGGCTCCATGAACCGCAGCAGGTGGTTTATCCGAGCGGCACGGATCATTCCTCACTAATATATTTATCATTTTAACGATAAAACTGCGTGATAAACGTTTGACCCTCCGTGTTGGAGGCTGCGGGTCGGGCCCGGTTCTTACCGTAGGCGGGTCCCAGCTCGACGATGTCCGCCATTTTGTGTGTGAGGGGCAGGAGGAGGCTGCGGTCCGGACCGAGGAGCAGAGCAGAGATGGGGGGTAAAACCGACTGACTGCCGCCCGGTTTCACTTCACATCCATAGAGGAGCGACGACAGCGGAGGGAAATCGCCGGGAACGGGGCGCTGTCCCGGGGAAGGGAGCGGACGGTCCGTGTGTAGCTGCGCTGCTTCTCTCTGCGCTGATGCTCGCGCGAGGATGCAGGGAGTCTGCGCGGAGGCGCTCGCGATGAGACTCGACAAAGATCGTTTGTGATGCGAGACGTGTCACTGCGCGGTGCAGGGAAAAAAGGTTTGTTCTAGAAGATTTATTTATTTGTTTGTTTGTTGTCTTTATATAACAATATTTTAGAATAGTCAGTACAAATTGTAACACGCTACATGATAAAATCATAATCTTTATATTTTTCCAGATACAAACATAAAAATACTCCAACAATCAGTAACACATGATCACCAGCCACTGAAGGAGGTGATCGTGTTTTTGCCTTTGAGTTTTCAGTCATATTTCTCCTGCACCACCAGATGAACATCAATGAAACTTCAACTTAATATTACATGTTCGTCTACAACACATGAACTTTTGGAGTCAATTAAATTGAGCAAATGTTACACCTGGCAGCCATTCAAGATGGCTGCAACATCTAACTGGCCTTAACAAACACAAAAAAGGCTACAAGTTTATTAATTAACCAGAGCCAGTATGTTTTAAAAGCAAACTAAACTCTGTCTGTGTCAAAACAATATAGCATTCACAATATATTTTATTGTTTTAATCCATTTGTTTGACGTGTATGACTGTTTATGTTGTTAATATTATTTATTCTTTTATTGCCATTCCACTTCTTAATAGTATTTTAGATATCCTGTGTATAAAAGCCCATCTAGGGACAAGTACTGCAAATTAGCTCACGCTATAAGCACCATGATATAGGCATGGGACTGCTGCTTTATTCAGTTTGTGTTTGTTATTGTGTGTCAGTCCCTATCAAATAAACTTAATACATAAATAAAATTTTACAGACTAAGGTTTGATGTGGTAGTGGCTGAGACTGATCCCCAACACTAATGCTAAGTTTTTTTTTTCTTAAGAATGTTTGTGCTGCTGTTGTTTGGTGTATTGTTTTTGCACTATTAAGTGTTTAGCATACAGTATTTCTAGTATAGTGTGTGTGTGTGTGTATATATATATATATATATATATATATATA